TCGTCCTCTCCAGCTGCGCCTCCACTGGACGGTTGCATGGTGCAAGTGTGCAACACGCCGAGTGGCTCGTCGCCGGAAACAGCGACGTGCGAGGCGCCGGGTGTCTTGCTTACGCTCTGCCATCGCTTGTACACCCCGCTGCTCTTCTTCGCCCTGCACTTCATCGTAAACGCAGCAGTGCTCCCTGCCGTGGATTCAGGGCAGATTCTACTCTTGTCGAAGCTGGAAGAAGTGTACTGAGTTCCGGCCCAGGCGCAGAGGGAGTTCTCCGCTTCGCCAATGGCCCCACTCATAGAGAAAGAGTCCTTCACAGTGATTGCACACTTCTGCCAGGCAGCTTCGCCAGGAAGGCGCCAACTCAACTTTTGCTCACTGTCCGCACAAGACACCTCCACCGACACATCCACCTCCTCCTCAGCCGAAGCAGCAGCCGCAGTTACGCAGACAGAGCCGCAGAGCAGCGCAAGGAGCGCCAGGGCGCACACCGCACGGCGCCGCACCGTCATCGCCATCGCCATCCGTCGCAGTAGAGCCAGTGGGCTGCGGGGCGGCAGCAGCATCAAACGACAAGAGGAAGAGAGAGCGGGAGTAGTCAAGGGCACAGCGGAGAGAGTGAGAGAGCAGGCAGAAGGAATAAACAGCGGCAGCCCACGCAGCAGGAAAACACACACAAGAAAGCGTCCGGCACAAACGCATACCTCTTGTCGGTGCGAAAGTGGGCCTGGAATACCGCAGCTTCTTCGTGTACCCCAAGGGGCGCCTGACGAAGCACGTGCTCCCGGAGGGTCGGGGCTGCCGCGGATGCGGCGAGGACGCGTCGAGCAGACACGCCCACACATGTGCACGTCCGCACACAAATCCGCGTGCACCTCGCCACGAGATGTTGAACTGCTCGTTGCCGAACTCCCCGCACATCTGCCGGCTTACGCGTGTCACGGAGCCCCTGTTTAACCGGGGCCTCGAAGCTGCGACCCGGCATCCCCGTCATCGGCCCCACAGATGTACGCGGTCACCGACGTCGCGGTGGCCTACGCCAGCCGGGACTTTCCGTCCGCAGCCGGGGCGGGGAAAACGGCCCTCCGCTGGCGGCGACGCAACGCCTGCGGGATAAAACCAGCAGGTACGGGGCCTGGGCAGCCGGCAACGCCCCTCCACTTCGGGCCGTTTGTGATGCGCACCAACGGCGCCCTGCACCCGCAGCGCAGGGGGTGGCCGCAGCAGGAAAGAGAGCGGGAGAGCTTCATGGAAGATCAATCGACAGAAAACGACGAACAACTCACGTCTCTGACCGGCCGTGTTTTTTCTTTCCTTCATTTAGTGAAGGCTCTTCTCGTTTCTTCTTCTCAGCCGGCAGCAGGTTTCGGCGCGGTCTCAACCTCAGTCCCTCCGATGTGGCTCATGAGCGACCCCAGCCGGGCGCAGACCGCCCCCTTTGGGCTCCTGCCGCCGTCTCTCGTCCCTCGCGGCCGAGTGGCGGGCGCTCACTGCGCTCAGCTCGACAACCCGCCCGGCGCCGCCCCCTGCAGCCTCCGCTCGCCGCTCCTTCGATTCCGCAACGGCAGGCCGCCCGTTGACTGCCTGCCACCTGCGCACCGGAGCCCAACGAAGCCACGCGGGCATCAACACAATTCAGATACAACCTGCAAACAAAAAAAAAACAGAAACACCCGCGTTGGTTGCGCTCGCCGCTCACACAACCCACCGCCCGCACGGAGCGCGCCACGATGCTCCCCAAGTGCACGGCAATATATTTGTATATACAAAGTGTGTGTGTGCGTGCGGGTGGCGGCCTGCCCTGTACGGACGCGCGGCAAAAATGCAAAAAAAAAACGAGAAAACAAAGGCTTCCCAAAACACGCAAAAATTCGGTTTCCCACAAATGGCGAGCGGTAAAAAAAGCGAAGAAATGATCCCGTTTGCCCTTTAGAGGCAAATTAGAAAATGGGAGCGAGTGGTGCGCAAAGCGAAAGTAATGTTATTGCCGCCTCGTGCGTCTTTTCAGTGCGGAGCTCCGTTGGGTGGGTGGCGCACTTTTTTTTTTAGCCCAGGCGTAGGTTGCTGCCCCGCCGATTACTGCCGGCCAAAGAGGCCGCAGCGCCACCGCAGCAAAAACCACGGCGAGAGGCACAAACGGGGCCCGAGGCCAACAGCCACAGCAGCCGCGCCGCCATCGCCAGCGCCAATGCCGCAGCCTGCCACATCCACGCCCACGCCCAACTGAGGCGCATTCTTAGCGCTGCTCCCCCCGCCGCCTTCCGCCCTGCCCGACGAACTCGTTGCAGACGGACCCTCAGCTTCAGAATCGTTGCTGCTGCCGCTGCGACCCGTGCCGGCACTGTGTGCGACGGCGGCGTACTGCGTCCACGCTCCATCCACCGCCGGGTCCGGCAGGGCTGACCTCCGCGTCGCCATTCTCCCCCCAGCCGGTTCTGTGTCCTCTGCGGCTGGTGGAGCTTCTGTCAGCGGCGGCGCAACCACCGGTGTTGGGTGGGCGCTGATGTTGGGGAGGGCGTCGCACACATCGGCGTACTTGGGGCACACAATACTCCCGCTCCAGTGCTCCCCCTTGGGGCTCAACAGCTTTGCCCTCCTCGCACTCGTGTCACGTTGCGTCGCGACGGAACTGCACCTTCAGCCTGCCGCCGTCGCACTGAGTGTTCACGCACACATCGCCAATGGGTTTTCCGCTCACTTGAAGGTCATTCCCTTTCACGCAGCGGGAGTTGGGGCCAATGAAGCTGCCAACAATCGCATGAGCCTTGCCGTTGGTGCACCCATCACCGCACGCCCAGTAACGTGCGGGCAGTAGTCCATAAACACCTTCCTGCCGCCAAGCCTGGGGCCCTCGAAGTACTGGTACTGCAGCGGAAAGGGGTTGCTTGTATCGCCCGAAATCGCAATTCCCCAGAGACAGGCGGTCATGCGTACAGAGCAGCTTCTCATTCC